GTGAACATTAGCACAGTCTCCTAGTGGAAGTAAATTACAGTGCAAAAGGCAAGCAGAGGAAGTTCAATATGTTGGGAAAATGTATTATAGTATAATCATTTATGTTATAATTGTTCACGGAAGCAGCCCATTATCTGTTAGTGACTAAAAAATAGGGAGTGGAGCCTCCCCGATGGCACAAGGGGTTAAGTCTCAGCACTATGAAGCTATCACCAGTCACTGCAGCAGGACTTTGATCCCCGGCCAGGGAGCTGATCCACATGGCACAGCAGACCTCTCCTGTCTCACCCGCTGCTCCCCCAGCAGTATATTTCAGTAGATCTGACTGTTATGCTCCCCATTCCATCTCTGGTGAATCCTCTCACCACCCTCCACCCCACACTTCTGGCCTGTGCCCCAGCTCTTGTATGTATAAATAAATAAAATAAACCTTTAAAAAAATAGGGAGAGGAAGCATTTAGTTAATAAGATTTCAGAGCCTAGCCCAGACTTCATTCCCATCTTTGAAAATGCAAAATAATCAAACTGCTTCACTGTATGGATCTTCTAAAGCAGAATGTCTACATCGTATATATCTTTGTGGAAAGGTAGATTTTATTCAACAGATTAAGCTTTTGTCATGTGGACACAGAAACATCAATTCCAAAGAACACCTGCACCCCTATGTTTATAGCAGCACTGTATACAATAGCTAAGCTTTGGAAACAACCCAAATGCCCAAAAATAGATGACTGGATCAAGAAGATGTGGTACATATATACCATGGAATATTACTCAGCATTCAAAAAAGATAAACACATGCAATTTGCAGCAACATGGATGGTGCTGGAAGGGATCATGCTCAGCGAAATAAGCCAGAAAGAAAAAGAAAAATACCAGATGGTCTCACTCATAGCAGGAATCTAGAAAACTTAAATAAGGGACCAGGAAAATGAATAACTATAAGAAAGTGAAAATCAAAATCAACAAAAACTATGAACCAGAGACATTTTTAGGGGGCGGCGGTGGGAGGGGAGGGATTGGGGTCAGAATGGGGGGGGGCTGCAATTGTATGGGGAATATAAAAATAAAATTTATTATTTAAAAAATAAATAAATGAAAATAAAAATGCCTTTTGGAAGTGTAAAAAAAATAATAAAAAATAAATATATGAATAGGAATTTCAAAAAATACACTCCTTTTTCATATCTTACTTCCTACCTTATTCTTCCTTCTTTGTTCGCCCCCCCCCCCTTCATCAAATGCAAAATTGACATTCACGGTAATAGGCAGTCTTGTTGACTACTGGCATTGAATTGTGGCAGAGGGTGGTGATGAAGGAGATTTTAAAAAAGTAAACTTCATATTTTTTGGTTTTTTAATTAATGAGAAACATTCTTTTCATAAATAAATTTTACCGGCAGTGTGTCTACATTTACAAAGGGCCACATAGCCAACAACTAGTAAAAAATAGTGTTGTCCTCATCAGCCAAACTGTAGAGAAGAGAACAGCAACAAGGATAATGAAGGATAACAATCCTTGTTCTCAGCAGATAAGAGCAAACACCTGTGTTCAGACTTTAGTACGCAGTTGCACCCTGCAATTCTTCCAGTCAATGGCTTGCCAGAGATGGGAGAAGAAGATTTGGAGGAAATCTATTAATTATTTAATAGATATTGCTTCTTGCTTTGCTCTGTGTTCAGTTTTGTGCTTCACACTTAACAAGGCATGCTGAATCATATGATGCTTAATGTGATCCCAGCAATAAAACTTTTAAGTGATGTCTTCAATTCCTAAACATCCATCCTCCTATCTTAGGAAAATTTATTTAAGAGGGAGTTACTAAAAAGTGTGCCTTACTGGATGTACTATACAAGCCTAAATGGCATTTTTTTTTAATCACAAAATTTACAAGTTGTATTCTTGTTCTGCTTTACGAAAGAAATTTGCCAACTTTCATTTCTGGATATTTGTATTTTAACTTAAGTATAATATGATCTCATACCTTTGCAAAAAAATGCTTTAAAAGTCATGTTGGTTAAATTCTTGAAAAATGAAGTCCCCTCCTAATTATAATACTCTATGTATGTTAAATGTTAAAACTACAAAGTTTCCATTTAACCTAACACAGTGTTACATTAAATGCTTTTCTAAATGTTGGAAATTGCTACCCTTATTATTTTTTGATTTAGCTGCACACCAATCACAGGGAACTTGAGATTTCAAGTCAAAGTTGTTTTTCCACAGTAATTCTAGTTAGGTCTTGTTATATTTCAAGCTCATGTCAAAAATCTTGTATCTCAACATAAATGGATGTCATATATGCAGGCTTGTGAGATTCCCAGTATTCGTTAAATGTTCCATGGGTCTCAGCCAAATGAATAATTGTCTATCAGCTTATGGTTCATTAGGGACCACAAATCAGTTGAGTGGGAGGTGTTTCATAGGAAACTATTCAAACCTAAGTTTTGCTAGATTCTTGATGAATAGATCAGCCTAGGATAAGGAACTTTCATCTAGGAGCTCCAAGTTAGTTAGGCTGGTGATAGCTAAGGCCTATAAAGCTAATTGGGCAGAGAAGAAAAAGGGGTAGCAATATGTTCTGGACATAGAGATGAGACATTCCTGGGTGCTTATTGGCTAATAGAAAACTTCACTGAAAGAGTAATCTATAAATGAAATTTACTAAAGAATTAAACTTCAAGAAGTGTCCTCCCCAATAAAAATAATATAACAATAAACATTGTCATTTTGATTTTTGCTTTCTTTTAAAGGAAGACTACTTTTGGTTTATGTTAACTTAGAATTCATTTATTTGTATTACCATAACTTATACTTGATATTTGCTTTTATGAACTTTTAAAATTTATTTTAAGTAAAGTTATTTTTATTTAGGCTACTATTTGAAAGTTGAAAAAAGACACTACCATAACTCTAAATAAACAATACCCCCTGTCTACTTCACTATTTTTGCTTTATGCACATATTCTGAGAATCATTTTATGGTGTTTTTTTTCTCATTAGTACCATTGAAAAATAAATATATATTCTGGATTTCAGAAATTCAAAAAAAGAAAAATCAGGCACTTGTGTTAAGCTCACATAGTATTAAAAAAAGCTTTGAAGGTATGGATCTTACTAAAACCAAAGCAAACTAAAAATAATTTCATAAAAATAATTTCATACAACCTTCATGAGGAAGTTTAGGGAGATGCAGAAAGTCTGAAAATCTTTTCAATACCTCGTGATTTTGATACTTGAGAAGTGACAGGATACTTAATGCACTAATTAAATGGTAAACTGGTCTTTTAGAATCATATATATATATATATAGTATATTGCTAATTAAAACATACTTTGAGTAGATTAATCAGGTAACTGTTAAACAAACTATCTAGTCTTGTTTTCTGCATATTACAGAATTCCATTAACCCAAAGAAATGTAATGTCCTACATTTCCTCAGAAGAACTACCTAGGAAGAAAAAGAGAGCTTTGGGAAATATGCTAAAACATAGGTTACTTAATGAAAGAAGCTAATAATAATTTTAGAATTTAAAAGGAAGATGTCCCTGATGGCATGAGAAATGGGACAAAAAATTTCATGTGTAAGGGGAGAGGAACAGAGCAATCATTACTATTCAGTGGCTAATCTAGGCAGCTATCACCTAAAAAGTCACTGCAAAGACAATGCAAATAATCATATTTTTTCCCAGGAAAGAATATGCACAGAAAGAGCATGGATGCCATAGACATGGACATTGATCAGAAGGAAATATATATATATATATACTATTTCTTTATTTCATTTTTCTTAAATAATTAATGACTTTTATCCAGTTGCCAAAATATGTCTTCAACTATAAATGAAAATGTACATTACATATTTACATAACTAGGATTTTTTTTATTAATTATACAATTTTGGAACTGTTAAATACTTATGTTTGGAAAATGATTCAATTCTACAAGGCATCTGAATTTAATTTTGTGATTGTAAGATCAACATCAGCATTTTAGTTCCCTTCTTTATGAGTAATAAAACCTTAAATTAGTTGTAATTTATCTACTTTCCATTTTTTTTTATTTTACAAAATAATATGTACTCCTTAGTAAAAATATTACAGTATGTTAATGTGGAATTCTACTAAATGAAACCTCAATGTGAACTTGGGAATGCTGTTTCTCCTAAGAAGTGCTACCACTAAAATTTGGGGAAAAAATAAGTATTTCACTGAATTACAAAGCAGAATTTTGAGTTATTGTTAAGAGTAATTGTTCACCTTGCCATCTTTGGCATCACAATGCATAGATCTCCGAATTTCTCGAAGAATTCACACATCTAAGAGGAAAAAAAGCAAACTACACAGAACAGTTCTTCCACTGTGAAAAATAGCAAAATTCCACACCTACAAACAAATTGCAAATTTTCACATATTTGCTCCAGGCAAACATTTGCAATTTTCACAGCAAATAAGGCTTTTGGCACCAATACACATTTTTTTTTGTCTTCTCCCCCCTTGGAAAAAAAAAAAATGACTCTCCCTATTTTCAGAAAACCAGAAAAAACACATGAGGCAAAATTACTGATAATATCATGCTTATTCTAGGTATTTTAATTTTGATATCTACCCACATAAATATTAGTTCAACATGACTGTACTTATTTAAGAATTCATGATTTATATAGGGACCCCGAAAATGAAACTGAACTGTTATTGTGACCTGGGATATTCAGTTTCATTCTAATCAGAGATATGGTTCTTAAAATGTTGCTCAGTTCTTTCAGGAAATAAGATTTTTTTTCAGTAACCAAATATGAAGCAAAGTTGGATTTACCCTATTTTTTTTTTCTTTTAGTACTATAAGTCACAGATTTTCAAGCAAAGGACAATGGGTTTCCCAGTTAGCTATGAAGTGCAGAAAAATATTTTTTCTCCTAATACTTACATAAGCATTTCTTTACATTAAAAAACAGACACACATCTACAGATAGTGCAAAACTATCTCTATACTACTTACCTTTAATTTACCTTCTAATAAAGTCTTCTTGACATTTGCATAATTATAAGACATAAGATGAGATCTCCACATAACCCATGAACCTATGGGAGAATTTCTTCATGGAAAATATCATCCAGTCTTTATCTATAGTTAAAAAAAATAATATAGTTGAGTGGTTGAGGATTGCCTTTATGATATAGGGAAGGAGCATGTTTTTTAGCTAACATGGGTTTTCAAACTTTTAAAATCTATTCAATGTGTATATAAACCATATTTTTTTCTAATCTAGTCTTCTGTCCTTGAGCACTTAGTTTATTTCCATATGTTGACTTATGTAAATAGTGCTGCAATGAACATAGGAGTACAAGTAACCCTCCAAATCAGTTGCATTTGCATTCTTTGGGTAGATGCCTAGGAGTATAATTGCTAGATGATACTGTAGATTTATTTTTACTATTGAGTAACCCCCATACTACATTCCTACTGAAAGCGTAAGATTACTCCTTTTTCTCTGCAGCCTCACCAACACTTGTTGTTACTGTTTGTGTTGAAGTGAGCTATTCTCACAGGTTTAAGATAGTGTCTCATTGTAGTTTCGATTTGCATTTCAGATGAACTCTTGCCATTTACTACAACATGGTGGAACTGGAGAGGATAATACTAAGTGAAATAAATCAGGAGGAAGACAAATAATAGATGGTATCAATTATTGTGGAATATAGAGAAACGAAACAAAGGGTCTAACAAAATCAAACTATTAACAAAACCCAGAAATGTGACTGTTTGAAGCTACAAGTTGGGGAAGTGGAAGGGGGAACAAATTGGGAGAGGGGAGCAGGAACTATAATGGAGGACTTGGGTGCCTTGGTGGTAGTGGTGTGGCACGGTGCCATGTATCTGAAAGCTATGATCCTATGTCTTGGAATCACATACAGTGTTGTAAACAAATGTCACATACACGTGTGCATACATATAGAACACACACACACATATAAACACACACATACACACCCAAACTATATATATATATATATATATATAAATGCTTCTATTCAATGCTATTCAAACTTACTTAAAAACCATTTTGCTTTATCCAGCAATGTAGGGGTTTGTGTGTGTGTGTGTGTGTGTGTGTGTGTGTGTGTGTGTTTGTGCCCTCACGGGTGTGTTCTTTAAGACAAAGAAATTTCCATGCCTTGTCTGCTTTCTATACAGGACTATATAGTATTAGTATGTTATTTTGAGAAAAGTTCAGGCCCTTCCCCTCCTCAAAATACAGCTTTTCTCTGACAGCAGAAGAGAAGTCCAATCATTTTAGCATGGTTTTTACAGACAATTTCATCTCTAAGTTACCAAGATATTCTTCCATATCTTCTTTCCATTGATCCTCTGTGCTGGCAATACCTGAACATAACGGCACATTTAATCCCACTTGGATGTCTTTGCATATTCTTGTCGGACATATTTTCTCCCCATGTAGTTACCCTGATGAATTCCTCATCACTCAAGGCTCAGATAATATGTCATTTCTTTGATAAAACTTTCACAGTCTCCTATTTGGGCCCTTTTTTATTTTCTATACCTCCACCCGCCCCCCATGATATCACTGTCCTCATTCATTCAGAATCATCTATTTGTCAAATCTGTATTGAGCAGCTAACATATGATAGAGACAAATGCAAAGGTTACTAGGCATCATTTTGCCTTCTCAGAATTTACTGTTGATATTTAATATACATAAACTACTCATGCAACTCAACAACAGCAACAAAAATATGTAATTTTAAAAGAGTAGAGGGTTGAAATAGGCATTTCACCAAAGAATTCATAAAGATACATGAAGATACATTCTACATAAAGATACATTCTACATTACTTATCATCTGGGAATTGCAAATCAAAACCACAATGAGATGTCACCTCACCCTGGTTAAAATGATTATCACAAAGTCAAGAAATTGTAAGTGCTAGTGAGTATGTGGAGAAAAAGAAAGCAAGATGCACTGTTGGTGGGAATATAAATTTGTGTAGTCACCATTGATAACAATGTGGAGTTTCCTCAAAAAAATTAAAAATAGAACTATCATATGATCCATTAATTCTACTTCTAGGGTATTTACCCAAAGAATATTAAAACATTAATATGAAAGATACATGTGCCCCTATGTTCATTGCAGCAATATTCCAAGATACAGAAACAACCAAATAGGCCCAATGCTGGATGGATGGATGAAGTAGATGTGGGATATATACACAATGGGTTACTATTCAATCACTAAAAAAAAAATGAAAAGAAAATATTGCCGTTTGTGACAACAGGATGGACCTTAAGGGACTGTGCTAAGTGAAATAGAAAGAGAAAGACAAATATCACATGATTTCACTTATTTGTGGAATATAAACAGGAGGGAAAAAAACAGTCAAATAAATGATATCAAAACAAATCCTTCGACAATGGCAAGAGAATGGTTGTTACCAGAGAAGATGCAGGTGGGAGGGAATGGTAGAGGGAACCAATTGGTTAGTGGTGGAGGGGGACTAAACATGTGCAGGAGATATGTGGTGCTATAAACAGTTGCTGAGGTGAGAAACTATACACTTTGAGAAGTGTCTAAGCAGCATTGTAAACTAATGTTACCAGAATAAAAGGGAAAAATTAAAAATAATAAGAGACATTGAGCTAATCTAATTATATAGGTAACTTGAAAGATAGAGAGCATCCTTTTATCTGTTACCAGTGCTTTAAAATGGCAAGAAGGGGCCTCCCAAGTGGTACAAGGGGTTAAGCACAACACTGTAAAGCTATCTGCAGCCTCTGCAGCACAAGTTCTATCCCAGGCTATCGAGGGAGTGACCCACATGACGCAGCAGACCTCTCCTGTCTCACCTGCTGCTCCCCTCAGCACTGTATTTCAGTCAGTCTGGCTGTTCTGTTCCTCACTCTATCTCTGGTGACTCCTCTCATCCCCTGCACCTCTGGCCTGCATTCCAGCTCTTGGATGCATAAACAAACAACTTTTTTAATAAAATAAAATAAAATAAAATGGCAAGTACTTAAACTATTTTTTGTATAAATTTACAATGCTTCTCAGTTTGAGGAATATATGTAGATAACAGAATTAATGAAAAATTTTATTTATGAAAAAAGTGGGGACACAAAGGACATAGAATATAGGAATTACTTACATAAATGTAGTTTTTAAAGCTGCAATTATATGCCTCAAAATTGAAAGTATATTAAATTTGCAGAAGGGAATACCCTTCTAATGTGTTTGGGGAAATTCTCCTTTATATCACTGGTGCTATATTAATATTTCCTATAATGTCTTCCTACCATGACTTTAAGCTATCATTGAGAACTAGAGAAAAGAAAGAATTTGACCAAATACCATAAGATTTTCTCTATACAGTTAACTTAGTGCATATTTTAGATGTACCTTACAACATTGAAATATTCTTTTTTTTTAATTAAAGATCTATTGTATTTATTCATGCATACAAGAGCTGGGAGTGTGCCTCCCCGGTGGGGGAGCAGCAGGTTGAGCTCAGCACAGTGAAGCTGTCCACAGCCTCTGCAGTGTGGGTTCAATTTTCAGCCGGCCAGGGAGAAACCCACATGGCAGGACAGACCTCTCCTTTTGCGCCCGCTGCTCCCCTCAGCAGTGTATTTCGGTCCTCTGCCTGTTCGCTCCCTGCCCTATCTCTGGTGAATCCTCTCACCCTCCCATTCCTCTGGCCTATACTCCAGCTCTTGTATAAAAATAAATAAATCTTTTAAAAAAGAGAGAGAGAGAGAGCTGGGGGTGTAGGCCAGAGGTGTGTGTGTGGGGGGCACTCTCCTCTCCCCTGGAGAGGATTCACCAGAGACAGAGTGGGGAGCAGAACAGGCAAATCTACTGAAATACACTGCTGAGGAGAGCAGCAGGAGAGACAGGTCTGCTGTGCCACTTGGGTCAGCTCCCTGGCCGGGGATCGAACTCATGTTGCAGTGGCCGCCTATAGCTTTATAGTGCTGAGACTTGACCCCTCATGCCACCAGAGAGGCCCTGTAACATTGAAATATTCTTTATAACTCCATTTTCTAATCTTTTAAACCATAGGTAAATTGTAACAAATAATGTTGTATCAAAACTTTCAAATGCCAACATAACCAGTTAATCTAGCAGCAAAAACAATAATCAAAATGGGATACTAGGAAATGTCGCCTAATTACGAGACAATTATATAGCCTTTTTTTTATTTTAGAGAAACACTTGACATACATATTTATATCTATTTTATGATTATCACATAGTTATTACTATTATCTACTATGTATTATTTGACATAGATTGAATTTTGACTATTCACCATATACCAAGTGCCAGATATATCTTTACCCTTGTACTAATGCAGGACTTTAATTTCTCATCTGAATTCCTGTGATTATCTAGATTAAAGCCGGTACCAATATAATTTTCACTGAGTATTTACACTAGAATGCTTCTATGCATTAACTTGTTCATCTCTATCAGAACCTAATAAGAAATAGATAATTTTATCTATTATATATATAATATATATAAGCTATAAAATATATAATACATTATATACATTTTATATTATATATAAATATTATGTTATATATAAATTATATATATATAATATAGCTAATATATATATAACCAGTTATATATATTAACTGGTTATGTTTATTATATGAAATAATAAAACTAATTTTCTAGGAATTAAGCCAATTACATCCCACATTCCTTTGCTAGAAAGAATTGGAGTTAGGATAGAACCAAGGTGATCAACGTGAAGAACACACTTTTTTTCAAGACCACACTTTTTTTCCTCTGGCCAAACTGTTCATTGTTACATATTTCATACCAACAGATTCAGTGATCTAGCTACCCACAGTAGAATATGCTTTTACTAACTTCATACTCTGCAATGGACAAAAGGTAAGCTCAAAATAGCTTCCATGTTTTAGTACTTTTCTTCCTTTCTACCGTTGTTTTTGACAAGTCTGTCTCTCATTTGTTTTCAGAAAATAATAACTCTCTATAGCTTAATGCTGTTCTGTGGTTCTGAAACTTCCTGGAAAATGCTGAAACTTCCTGGAAAATGCTCTCACTTTAAACTCTTAATTATTGGTCAGC